AACATCTACCTGCATGCCAAATTTCAGCCCAATCCGTCCAGTGGTTTGGGCTGGCGTTGATAGATCACTATGTCAGTCAGTCACCTTTGAGTTTTATATATATAGATAGATTGACGAAATTAAATTTCGTTTAAGCTTCGCTATCGAAAGTTCGTTTCGGAGAAAGAGAGTAAGACCCCCTGCGCCATCCAGCCATTCGAACATACAATGAGGTTACTCTCCGCATATCATATAAACATTTTAGAAACATTCATACCATAGATCAAATAACTTTATGATGGTAGATTGGAGAAGATATACATTAACTGTTATACAAGCTTCGATCAACAATTCCATATATAACGGGTTGTATACGAAATCAAAGCTAAAAACTGTCCGCGTATGTTTAAACTTATGCATAACGATATTAAATACCCTAGATACACCAACACGAACAAAATCTTGCCCGAAACCTGTCCAAAAGGTACATTGAACGATCCACGGAGCTCCGTAAGATGATCGCGTAGTCAAAATCAATATAAGGCATTATATAAATAATGAAAGTTACCTTTAATACATACTGTATAAGGTCTTAAATAAAACGCATGCGTCAAGGACTTCTGACAGTTGGAATTGCAAGCTCGTAAAATTTTACGACTTATTGCTATATGCGGAAGAATTTAGACCTTAGTTCTTTGACTCTACGCGAAATTCTGAACGTGCTGTTAGCAATATAGCAGGCACGGACTGCGAGGAAAAGAGACGGCTATATGGCGACGTATAACCGACCATGCATTTGAATATCACAAATGTTTTATATTAAATCAGTTTATAGTAAGTATTAGATCAGAATTTACTTCAAATGCGTTATATTAATTGTCTAACGCATTTGAAGTCTTGAATTAACGCAGTTGTCTTATAAAAAGAACTCTTCTTCCTTTTATAAATTTTATCCAATACCTAGAAAAAAAATCGATAAAGGTGATAAACGGAAAATGTGAAATCAACCTTATGACCCACAAAATAAAATAATTTTTACCAGTCATTGGCCAGCGAGTTACTACGTTTTGTATTAACCAAACTAATTTCAAATAAGATCTTACGCCTATAGTGAGGCTAAATTTACGGAGACAGATTTTACGCGCTGTCCCGTCCCGTTATCTATAGAATTGTTGATCGAACTATACAAGTTAAGCGTAGTACTATATGTGTCGAAATGGCTTTGTAGCTTTGGCAGAGTCCAAAGGTGAAAAAAGCACGAGTTTTTGACAATTCAAATTGTTTTGACATTCAATCGTAATCGTCAAATTGTGTATGGAAAAAGCTTGTTTGTTCTTACGTTCGATAGAGGGCGCCGTTTAGTTTCCATAGTAACTTTGACGATGCGATACGTTTACAGTCAAGAATTTATGCTTGGGCCTTTGCTTATAGGGGTTAAAGTATGAAATTGCCGTTTTATAGTAATAATAGATACTTTGAATGGGGGCTATCGCGTATGATTGCTATCATTTTCGTGATTTGGACAATTTTCTTCCCAAGAGGCAGTACAACACACAGTTTGTTGAATGAAGATCCCCAGGATTCTATCGGATAAATGAACTTCCGAAATGATGGCAATAAATAGATAATACGGGTAAATATTTCGATAACATAAAAATGATGAATATTAGCAAAAAAAAAAAAATCTAATTTTCAATACAAACCGGTAATTTCATACTTTAATCCCTAATATTTCAATAACACAGTGAACCATGCTTGTTTTTTAAACAACTCTGTAATAATATACTTTTAGTTAATAAATATGGAATTAGTAGTAGAATTATGAAGTAGTTGAATTATGAGTTTGCACTATTTACAGCATTGACTAGTACAAGATCACGAAAAACTTTTATCAAAACAGTAAAAACTTATTATACTTATATTTTTTACTTTCTATATTTTAGTATATACTTTTTACTTACAAAATTTTGGCAAAGAGGATAAAAATGACAACATTGGCATGGCAAGCATTATTTACAAAAATAATATTTTGTTAATGCCAAAAAATCTAAATAATAAATGATATGGCGATATAGATTTGTGCGTTTACAATCTGATGTAACATATTCGCTAATAATCTATTCGTATTAATAAATATGGTGTCACTCAGGGTTCGAAACTGGGACCTCAATTGTACAGTATGTAGTAAACGAGGAAAATATTTAAATGACCCTAAAATTTTAAAGACCTAAAGGTTAGGTTACCAGTTGTTTTTTGGGGAGGATTTAAATATGAGCCATAAATAAATGTTGATTGGCGACGACGGAATTTAAATAATCACTCAAATGAAGAAAGAAAAGTCAATACTGATAACTACACATTTCACAAAAATTAATCAAATCACTAGTAAAGTGTTACTGCAAAAACTTGGTATGCATCCAAATTTTCCAATTCGTCTGAAACCTATTCTTGGTTTGTTACTTTTTAAACATAACAAATTTATAAATATACTCACTTAAAAAAATATGCTTAAATAACATTACACAAATGAGTAAATAATACTACTTTGTATGAGACCTTTGAATTTAAAATTTGATTTACTATTTTTAGTTATTGGAATGAAGCAAATGTTTAATATGGATAAAAAAATAAATAAAAATATTTCCCTTAAAGTAACAAGAAACAAAAGTATAATGTCCAAAAATATATCTCATCTGTTATAAGTGAAACATAACAAAATAAATAATAATGTTACTTAAAGTTATTGGAATAATAAGTTACTAGTTTCAATCAATACATTAAAAGCAAACGACATTTTAAAGCACAATAATAATATGCATTAACATTTTCACATAATTTAACGACTAATCTTTGTTACCTATTAACTACAAGATTCATTAAAACAACATAAAAATACAACATTTGATTTTGAAATTTTACACTGCACTGTAATCTGCATGTACTTCTTGATTGGTTCCAAAGTACTCCTAACAAAAAGTACAATATTTTTATGTAAAATACTTATTGAGTTATGTAGTGACAATTATGTAGAAAATGATGTGTAATGCTGGCACTTCAAGATGCTACTCGTATAGGACACGGCTAAGAGAATTCCCTTAACGTGTATAATTATTTCGCGCTAGTCCGTAACTCCCTTATCAATAAACAAGGAATAAGCTAAGACTAGTTACACCGTGATTAGTTCATGTCACTCAAATGCCATTTGTAATTGCTTCAACACCAGATTCCTAAATTAATAAATAATCTACCAGAAACAATTAAAAATAAAATTAATCAAAGTAACATTAATTCCATTTTAAAAACATATTTTCTATCCCTTTTAATAACAAAAACAAACATCGACATGATATAAAACTAAAACAAAAAAAATATATATGAAACACGAAGTCAGCCCGTGTGTTTCCACTCTTTTGGTGTATTACTCTGCGCGGTGTGTTTGGCCAACAGATACCTAGCTTTTCACTAAAAGCGGTGCGGTATATGTAAAAAAAATATTAATAACACTACCTTACCGATTAATGTCTGATGAATGAATGGTTTAACTTAAATTTGTTGATGAGTAGACGTACCTGCGGGTCTTGATGGCAAACGGCAGTGTCCGGGAAAACCAATACTGGTTTATGAGACACTGTTATACACTTAAGATTATAATGTATTTCTTATAAAATAAATAAATAAAATAAAAATAAAAAAATAAAATCAATAGACAGAGACAAAACATGGAGTAACTAATCCAAACGTAGTCTTCTTTTATTAATAAGGGGTTAACGGTAACATGTTCTGCTGGAGTGCAGAGGAGTTGCAAGACAAAGGGCTTTAATGGGAAGCCCGCGGACACTAGTAGAAGCCTGCAGCAACATCCGGGGACTGCTGAGCTTTCTGGAGGAGCTGGGGTGGCAGGACTGATGCCAATCCCCACGCAAAATAGGCACTGGGTGTCGAGTTGCGGAAACAGCCCGCCGTTCTACTAAGACTAAGGGGTTAACAGTATAATATATTCTTTTTTATTAATTATTACGTGTTTATTATTCGCATTTTCAACTTTGAAATAATCAAATATTAAAAAGTGTAAAAATTTACTTCTGCCTACCTGTTTCAAAAGGAAAATGTGAACAAAATAAAACTTAACAGATTTCCTGTCAGGCCGACAACAAACATTTTTATTCATTTGTTTTTACTATAAAAAAAACAACTGTGAATATACTTTTTTGAAGTGTTTATCATAGAAATGGGAGGGAAAGAAAGATTCCAAGAAAATGCGAAATTGATAGCTCAGTAAATAATAATTGGCATCTTTTATCAAATGTAGCAACGTAGAGTCTGTGCGGAAAGAGAATGCGATTTAGATTGGAGGGCGCTGTTGTGTTTTTCTACCGTATTTGTAAGGTTTAAATATTTATTATTCGTATTTGCCAACCCGACTATATAATAGAGAAACCTACTAGATCAGAGGATCATAATTTCTAAAAAAGACCGGAAATGTCCGGATTTTTGTCAATACTTCTCAAAAATTTAAATAGTAACCCTGCTCCCGGGTTTTGTCAACATTTTGTTATGCGAACCATTTAGTAAAACTGCAATATTAGGGCTTTGCGTTACGAGCTCAGCTAAGTGCGAAAACCACTTTTTAATTGTCAGCTAAGTTAAACATTTTGCATTGGTGAATAAATATATTTTTAAGTTTTTTCAGCTATGGGAAAAATTGTAGTTTGATAAAAAAAAAAATAGTCAAACTAGCAAACCAGTGAACCAAATGTTCACCAAAACCTGATTTCTTGAAAACCGGAAGTGCTACGTTACTCAAATCCGGTTTGTAGTCTTACCAGACTATTCTTAACTTATAACTTAAATATTCTCTTTATCTATCTGTTACGGTTTGGCCGCTGAAACAGCACCACGGACAGACGGACTTGTCTAATAGATAAGAGATTTACGAATAGCCAATTGAAGTGCCAGCATGAAAATACAAAGGTTTATATGTCGTTAAGGCGTGACATTATGTCCTAGCGGTGTTTGTATGATTATAAGGGCGGGGGCTCACGGATTCCATCGGAGTGTCGCGTGCGGCCCGCCAGTTCAAGGATGGCTTTGGCTTCTGGGTTAGTATCTAGTACGCTTACGTCGCGTTCGTCCTGTGAAATAGATAAATATAATAATTAATATTCGTAACTGTCGTTAAGATTAAATTATTGTAAAACCTATGATACGATAAGGAATTGCTGTGGATTTTGTTATAGAATTCATTACATAAAAACAATTATAGAAGCCTGAATTAAAAAACTAAATTAAACTACTTTCGGCTGCGATCGTTGAAGTTAAGCAAGTTTTGTAGTGGTCGGTCATTCGATGGGTGACCAAAAATCTTCTATCTCGAGTGCTTCGGAAGGCACGTTAAGAGGTTGGTCCCGGCTACATCTGCAGTCGTTAGCACCCGTCAATCCGCACTGGGCCCGCGTGGTGGGTAATGGCCCAATCTCCCTTTTCCATCCATAGGGAAGGCCTGTGCCTCAGCAGTGGGGACAATAATAGCGTGATGATGAATTTTATAAAGGACAAATAATGTCGAGAATCAATATAATCTTTTAAAATAATCTAAAATGGTTTATCTTCTCATTTCTGTCACAATTTTTTTATTACATTTTTATGTAATATCCACGAAGTAGATATTTAATTAAAAATTTTGCTATGTCATTAAAGTCGACAGACTGATACTTTATGTATTAAGTAATTGTTACAATCATCATCATCATCATCAACAGCCTATGTCCTTAGTCCACTGCTGGACATAGGCCTCTCCAATGCACACCACTGAGATCAATCTTGGGCTACTCGCATCCAGCTCCTGCTCAACTGTCAATTGTTACAATATGGTCGAAAAAATATTATTCAAACTTTCACAAATATATCAACAACTTTTTTAGTCGATAAGTGACATTTATACAGGATGTTTCTTCTAGGGTGTCAAGCCAGTGCGAGCTGATAGCAGAGTATCATACTTATCAGTTAATTCCCCATGTATTTTCTACGATTTTGCGTAGTTTTCGAGTTAGATTTTTTAAATTCAACGATAAGACATCTTTAAAAAAGTATAACTTCTTTTTGGGACGATTTTTCTTCGATATATATATTTTTTTACAGAATGCCTATTGCTTGTAGTTTTATAAGTAAAATAACTTCCTTCCTAATTTTAACCTAAGATATAAAAATTTTGATCGTTACTAAATAAAATGAATTAAGTAAAACAGAATGGATTTTCAATTGAAAAAAAATGAAAATAGATGTTTTATAACTTCTGTCTAATTTTAAAAACTGCCCGACTACATAAGCTATCATTGAAATTCAAAATAGATTTACTAAATGGGGCATTATTTGCTGAAATCTGTTGTTGTTGAAGGTGTTGTATCGAAAATCGAGTAAGTTTAATATTTTATAATTTCGTAGTGTCTTAGCATATTTTGTCAATCTTTAGTTTTATTATCCCTTTTAGATTAAGTGGAGTGCATTCAAAAATAAAAATAATAATTTTATGACAACTAATCACTCAAAAATCCTGTTATCCTACTCCTCAGGTTTTTTCATTTTACGCTAGAATAAGGAAATGTCTACGCGTACGTTGAGGACTCGCGATTGAGCTTGATATTAAGGTTATATTTTCCTACAAGCAAGAGGCATTCTGTTAAAAAAAATCGAAGAAAAATCGTCCCAAAAAGAAGTTATACTTTTTTAAAGTTGTCTCATCATTGAACTTAAAGAATAACGAAAAAAATCTAACTCGAAAACTATGAAAAATCTTAGAACATACATGGGGGTTAAATTAATAGGTATAGTACTCCGCTATTAGCTCGCACTGGCTTGACACCCTAGAAGAAATACCCTGTATAAATGTCGCTTATCGACTAAAAAAATTTTTTTCACCATATTGTAACAATTGACAATTGAGCAGGAGCAGGAACCACCCTGTATACACCCTGGCAAACTTCTTGAGCAACGACCATAGACAAGGAAGCCTGCTCAGTAGCAGTATTTACATAGGAAAACGTCTACTTTTATATTTATTTTTATTTATTTGTCTGTGATTTTGCTTAACAAGTTTTCCGCGACCTGTAAAGTTGTCTTAAATTTTAAAATTTTTTGCGCGACACTTTTTTCGTATAATACTTCTACAAAGTATTTAAATACTAACAAAAAAAATGAATTTGGTGAAAACACGTTCTCATTTCACTCATTTAAAAAAAGATTTTCAGCCGGAAAGTGACACTTTATAAGGAAACACTTACATCCCCCCTGGGATCTGGAAGCACAAGTGCTGGCAGAAGTGTACCGGGGGCGGATCTTGGCGCGGGAGAGGGGGGAACGCGCGACGGCTGAAGAGCTGAAGCGGGTGTATGGGGTGGCGAGAGAGGCGCTTGTGGAGAGCTGGTTGGAACGGCTCGGGAATCCCACGGCGGGATTCAGGACGGTGGACCTGTTTTTAGAGATTGGCTAGATAGGAGAAGGGGGACGCTAACTTGCAGGTGCTTTCCGGGCATTGTTGCTTTGGAAAGTTCCTGCACCGGATACGGAGGGAAGCGGACCCTTCGTGCCATGAGTGCGGCGATGCCTAGGATTCAGCTCAGCACACCCTAGAGGTGTGCCCGGCATGGACCCGGCAGCGCGGCGCTCTGGTCGCGATCGTGGGAACGGACCTCTCACTACCCGGCGTGGTGAAAGTCATGGTGCAGAGCGACAGGTCCTGGCAGGCAATGGTGTCCTTCTGTGAGGACACCATCGCACAGAAGGAGGCTGCGGAGAGAGTACGCGAGGAACAGGGCTCTCTCCGCAGTCGTAGGAGGGGAAGGAGAAGACGGCGGGCGCATCTCTTGCCACCATAACACAAAGAATGGCCTTAGTCAGGGCAGTGGGCGGAAAGGTCCTTTTTAGGACCAGGGGAGCGTGAGCCCCTTAAGGGCTCAGATTGGGGAAACGGTCCATTTTCTAGGACCAGGGGAGTTAGGAGCTGATGCTGCTGATGGTGGGGTGATCCCCACAGTGATCTTTATCACTGCCATTGGAGGTAGATGCTCAAAAGGCCCTTTTGAGGGCCTAGGGGGGTAGGAAAGGGACGAAGAGAACTATGCTCTCCCTCTCACTTCTGCGAGAGCCGCGAGTCTGTCCTGGGGGGGGGGATAGGCTCTCATTGCACAAGCTCTATGGATGCTGATGCCCCGGAAAATCACCTGGCGGGTGGCGGCCATTCGGAGACGGGTTCCGCGACCACACCCGCCCCACCGCACCCGGGGACCGCGGTCCTCATAGTGCGTGTCGGGTGACGGTGCAGGAGTATTGTCTGGTTTTTAGTGGCCCTGTTCAGGGCGTAGGTAGGGCCCTGTTCACATCAGCGAGCTCCAGGGCTGGCTGAAGGGGACTGGGAGGAGTCCCACATACCTTCTTCTCGCTCCCCCAGTGGTTGAAGCATGCGCAAGGCATTTTCCAGCACAAAAAAAGGGAAACACTTACATACATACATACGTTACTCGCGAAACTCGTTTATACATTTGGTCCTTCGAGCCGGATGAACTTACTCCTCGTTCAGTTAAATAATGTCAAAACGCACAGTCGCGAAGATATTTTGAGCAGGCAGTCGTTTTAGTTCTTCACCTTAATTACATGCAAAATATATAATTTCTGATAAAACTGACCTAATCTTTAATGATCTCCGGCTTATCTCCGACGCCGGGTACTTCTAAGCAAGCGGCAAGCGGATGGAAAATGGAGTCCTAAGATAGCCGCTTGTATCCGCGGTACGCGCTGAAAGATTCCGCCGAAGGGTCCGTGATTACCCAGATACTTTTATATATATACTTGGTCCTTCGAGCCGGATGAATTTACTTTCCATTCAGCATTCAGTTTAATAACGTCAAAATGTACATTTTAACATGTAGCCGATTTACTTCGTTGTCACCTCAAACACATAAAATAAAATTTTGGAAAACTGCGCAATTTGTGATAAAACTGACCTCATCCTTGATGATCTCCGGCTTATCTCCCACTCCCCACACTTCAAGGCTTCGGATATGGAATGTGGGGTCCTTTGATAGCCGCTTGTATCCGCGGTAAGTGCTGCAAGATTCTGCTGAAGATCCTTCGCCGAAAGGGTCTGCATTCACCCAAATACCACCGAATTCGAACTGACCGCCCATTATCTGGGATGGAGAGACAAACAGAAGACAAACGAATAAATAAATTATCAAATTAGTAAGCTAAGGGGTCATCCATAAATTACGTCACACGAATTTCATGTCTTTTTTGCCCCTCCCCCCGTCCTTGTCACAGCTGGTCACATTTGTAAGACTCCCCCCCTCCCTAGTGTGACGTCACATATTTTGCAAATTTACATTTAGAAATCATTGAATGAAAACAGCGGTTCTGTAATCAGTTTTATTTCCATTTAAATGGTTTTTTCATTATTATTATAATCAAATCAAACAATTAACAAAACAAAAAAAAAACGATTAATTATATTTATTAAAGAAATTACCGAACAAATAGTGATTGACTATGTTAATTAAAGAAATTAACAAAACATAAAATATTAATAGCATTATAATTAAATTAAAGATACAAACTTAATAATCTTGAGTCCATGGACATTGATCCCACTCCTTTAAATTATTTATAACAGGCATAGCACCACTTTGTTCTCTTTTGGGTTGTTAATGCTTTCGTAAAGTAATAGTTTCAACACTTAGATTTTAATATATTTTGAAATGTGACGTCACGAAATTTAGAACCCCTCCCACCCCTTGTCACACGATGTCACATTTCGTCGATCCCCTCCCTACCCCTTAAAGTGTGACGTAATTTATGGATGGCCCCTAAGACAAAACCATCATCAACATCAGTCTATTAATGCCCCCACTGCTGGGGCACAAGACTACTCTATGAACGACGACTGCAGATGCAGCCGGGACCAAAGAAATCAATAAAGACCAAAAGAAAGAAGATAATCTTGGTTCCGCTAACTCTTATTTATTGCTATGTTTTATTATACCATCATCATCATCATCAACCCATGTTCGTCCACTGCTGGACATAGGTCTCCCCTCCTGCTCCCGATTTTGCGCTACTCTCATCCAGCCCACTCCAGCCAGCCTACGAATATCATCATCCCATCTTGTCTCAGGGCGTCCTACACTACGTTTACCGATTCGCGGTCTCCACTCAAGAACTTTCCGGCTCCAACGTCTATCAGTTCTGCGGCTAATGTGACAAGCCCACTGCCACTTCAGTTTGCTAATTCGGTAATTTAATTAATTAATTAATTTTATTATACTATTAGGTATTTTTATTTTTAAACATTTGACTGCTTAATTTTCATATTTTAAAGATATTCCTGCTTCCTGAATTAAAGACTCGGCCTAGGCTGCTGGAATCGAACCAGCATTCTCCACTGTTCTGGTGGTACTTTATTTTATAATGACACCTGCAAGAAAAAACATCGTAACTCAGTTTAATGCTTGCCCCCCTAAAACGATATTTATTCTTTGCCATTTAATATATAAGCACTATAATCATGAACAGGTATAAATTGTAAAACTAAATACAATCTTTCCTTATTTGTTTTATTCAAGGTTGTAAATTGTATTACCTTAAAATGTATGTGGAGTTACAATTAAATGTAGATAGTATGTCAAATTCGTGAAAATATAGCAATTCATGAAAATATTATCATACCGACTAAATAGTTTCTTGATTGTCTATTTAAATTGGCAACACTGTTGGGCGTTAGTACTAAACGGAAACAGGCAAGATTTTTAAATTCACATTATCCTTTAAATTAACAAAAACTGACTTACTACATTTTCCTCTTGGATGCCCAAATAACAGATTATATCATCATCATCAGTCTATTAATGTCCCCACTGCTGGGGCACAGGCCTTCTCTATGGATGGAATATGGAGATTGGGCCATGACCCACCACGCGGGCCCAGTGCGGATTAGCGGGTGCTAACGACTGCAGATGCAGCCGGGACCAACGGCTTAACGTGTCTTCCGAAGCCCGGATGACTTTTGGTCACCCATCCAATGACCGACCACTGCGAAAGTTGCTTAGCTTCAACGATCGCAGCCAGACACGCTAACCACTGGCCCATCGAGCTCCACACAGTTTATATATAAAGTAATATTAGCACTTACCAGTCCATTGGGCAGCGTCTTCGTATGATGATTGATGTACTGAAAGTGGTCATTGTACCCAGTGGCGGGGTATGCTCGCATTTTTGGTGCCAGTGCGAACAGGAACGAATCGTCCGTACCCACGAAGTTGGGGCCGATGGACCAGGGACAAGGGGCATAGCCACCGAATATGTGGCCCGAGCTATCCTCTATTATGAGGATGGAAGCGCCCTGGTCTTGGATACGACCTGGTGAAACCATGGAAATCGGGTTTACAAGCAAACATTAAATCATGGTCCTTCGAGCTGAATTCCTGAGATTTCTTAAAAAATGACAAAATCAAAATGAAACCTAGTTTATTGAACATAAGTCTTTACCGGCACTTATTGAAAAGTCTGTCTATCTGAATGTTCGTGCAGAGAATAGGTTTCCAGCTATGGATATAGAGTCTGTGCGGAAAGAGAATGGGATTTAGATTGGAGGGCGCTGTAGTGCTTTTCTACCGAATTTGTAAGGTTTTACCCCTTTTAGACATGATTAAATACAAAAAAGCGCAAGAAATCACAACAATAAACAAATCCGTTTTTTTTCGTCAAACATCCGTCAAACAAAATTTCAATATCGGAAACTAGCTAAAAAAGATAACAATTCTGTAAATAATATAAATTACTATCATGATTTCAAGAGATATATATATCTAAGATAATTTGAAAGTAAAAAAAATAAAATAACCTCTACAAATAACATGGCCCTTCGAGCCGGATTCCTAATGTTTCTTAAAAATTGTCTAAATTTAAGCGCTACTCACCCGCCATAGTGGAGAATGACTCGCCGTGAATATGAGAAGAGAAGAGAAACCTCCACTTGTGCTGATGCTGCTGCGGCAGATGGCTGTTCAGCCACACGATGTGAGAGAGATCCGTGAACGCGGGGTAATCAGGCATAGCGTCTAAACCTATATAACAAACATAATGTTCGTATTTGGTATTATGACCAATCTTTTAGCTGAGTAATTTATCGTTAACTAGCGGCCCGCCCTCGCTTCGCTTCGGTGTAGAGCTGAAGTGTAGACTACAGTATTTTGTTCTCAGGCTTGTATTATACACAATGACATTCATCTATGATTCTTCTTATACCTACATGCAAAGTCTCAGCCCGATCGGTTTAAAATTGACAAAGGTTCATACAAAGGAGACCCGGCACTTTTCATAGAAAAAATGCTAAACTTGTATACAGTTGAATTTGGTCTCAAAAAAAAGCCAAAATTATTTGCTACATAAAACTACTTTTGCCTTATTTTTAGTGAATCGTGGATAGAAGTTATTTAATGATTAATATTTTTTGATATAGAAACCCTTTTGATGACAAACCTACGTATTTGACATTGACAGCTAGCTGCTGATGACAAATATTGCCAGACTACGTTACCCAATTATGAAACACAGATAAAAAAATTAAAAAAGTGTACAACTTTGGCACAAAATGCCGGGTGTCCTTTCATTCCAGTCCAGTGGTTTGGGTTGTGCGTTGATAGATCACTATGTCAGTCAGTCACCTTTGAATTTTATATATATATAGATTTTATTATATTTTTTATTTTTCATATTTATCTGCTAGATGTTTTAATCTAAAGAAAATTTAACTAGAAAAAATTCCACGGGTCCAGGCAGCAGACGGGATTCGAACCCGCATCCTCCACTATCCAACATCATCATCAGCCTATTAATGTCCCCACTGCTGCAGCACAGGCCTTCCATATGGATGGAATAGGGAGATAGGGCCATGACCCGCGTGGTGGGTCTTGGCCCAGTGCGGATTGGTGGCTGCTTACGACTGCAGATGCAGCCGGGACTAACGGCTTAACGTGCCTTCCGAAGCACGGAGCTCGAGATAGTAAATTATCGGTTACCCATCCATTGACCGACCCCTACAAAAGTTGCTTAAGTTCAACGATCGCAGCCGAACGCGCTAACCACTTGCGCCATCGAGCTCCTCCGCTATCTGGGCGGACGCAATGACCAATTATGCTACCGCAGTCTTATTGAACGTGTCGAATTTCTTCTTATATTTCTTAGGCTGCAAGGCAGCGCCATCTGTTCGCATTGTAGGTAAACCACAATGTCACTGTTGAAAAAAGAATAATTCTTTTATTTTTAAGCATTTAACTGCTAGATGTTTAAAGAAAGTTTACTAGAAAAAAATCTACGCGGATCAGGCAGCAGACGGGACTCGAACCCGCACCCTTCGCTATCCGGGCGAATGCACTAACCATTATGCTACCGCGGCCCTGACGGACATGTCGAATTTTCTTTAGCCTTAGGCTGCAAGGAGAGGGTGTAAAAAAGAAATGAGGCGTTTAACTTAATTGGCCTCTGTGGGTACGGTTTTTCCTTCCTACCTTCAGGTAGAGGCAGCAGCGAGGGCATCGACGGTGGTAAAGGAGTGGGACTCTCATCGCTGCCTTTCTTGTTGATTCCATACAAATTTATGAATACCAACTCAGCCAATTGCTTCAGCAGAGAGTTCGTTTCGAGCCTGAAACAATAAATAATAATATTCTTTATTGTAATACACCATAAAAGAGACACAATTAAATAAAAGACATGATAGAAAGAACGTACACAACAAAGGCGGCCTTATTGCTAGGCAGCAAACTCTTCCAGGCAACCCACAATAGAAAGATAAATAATTATAGTAATATAAGTTATTTACGGGATTGTTAGCATGTACCTTGTTTTTTGTGTATGTACATTGTCGAGTGTCTGGAATCCTGTGGAAATAATCAAAAAAGTGTCGTGCCGCGATCCGATACTGTAAGTGTTGTGTGTCGAGAACAGTTTCGAGTGAATAGTGAGAATGTGAACAGTGGTACGGGTATCGAACGCAATAAAAGACTTCGTCTGAGGGTAGACCGATATGTCTACCAATAAAAACCTACCCGCAATTACTTCAGTTACTCCGTGATCATGGCGCTTGCAACAATGCCAAAATATCGGAAACTCGCTAAAAACAAGGTACATGGTAACAATCCCGTAAATAACTTATATTAATAACTATAATGTTAGTGACCATGAAAGTTTAAAACAATATAAAGATAAATAAATATGAAAGAGAAAAGGAGGGGGGTGTAATAGAAAATAATAATAATATGTTTGGCAGGAAATCAGATATATCTAAGGATGGAAAGAGAGAGGATGAAGGAATAATTAAACATCATTGTTGCGATAGGAAATATTGATCTCCAAACTTGATCCCTAAACGAGTTCAGAGTGCGAGCTTTTCGAATAGTTTAGTTAGTTTTATAAATTGTTTTAATCTAAAGAAAATTTTACTAGAAATAATTCCACGTGGTCCAGGAAGCAGACGAGACTCGAACCCGCACCCGCCGCTATAGGGGGGATTTTTTTCTAGTTAAATTTTCTTTAGATTTAAAATCAAGATATTAGATTTTTTTTGCTATAAGGGGTCATCCATAAACTACGTCACACGAATTTCATGATTTTTTGCCCCTCCCCCCGTCCTTGTCACAGCTGGTCACATTTATGAGACCCCCCCCCTCCCTAGTGTGACGTCACATATTTTACAAAATTTAGAAATTATTGAATGTAAACAGCGGATCTGAAATTAGTTTTATTTTCATTCAAATTTGTTTTTTAATAATATTAACATCAAATCCAACAATTTAACAAAACAAATATGAATAACATTATGATTACATTAAAGATACAAACTTAATAATCTTGAGTCCATAATAGACATTGAGCCCGCTTCTTTAAATTATTTATAACAGGCATAGCACCACTTTGTTCTCGTTTGGGTTGTTTATGTTTTCGTAAAGTTATAGTTTCAACATTTCGATTATAATAGATTTTTAAATGTGACGTCACGAAATTTAGGACCTCTCCCACCCCCTTGTCACACGATGTCACACTTTGTCGACCCCCTCCCTACCCCTTAACGTGTGACGTAATTTATGGATGGCCCCTAATATAAGGAGCTCGCGTGGTTAGCGCGTTCGGCTGCGATCGTTGAACTTAAGCAACTTTCACAGTGGTCGGTCATTGGATGGGTGACCAAAAATTAATCTCGAGCTCCTCCGTATCCCTATTCCATCCATAGGGAAGGCCTGTGCCCCAGCAGTGGGGACATTAATAGGCTGATGATGATGATAATATATCATAATTGTTTTGTTTATTTATTAATCATGTCAGTTAAAGGGAAATTAGGAATCGCTGCTATACATTAATAAGGGATAAACAAACACGCCACATTCATACCTCTGACGAAAATGGTGATTCTGCCAAAGTTTGGCGTGTTCTCAAGTTTGGTGTTGGCAACTCTGTCTCCATTCAGTTATTGATGTCAATGCTTTGAATGTTCACTTTTCCTTGTCTGCGTCCATGGATGGAACAAAGTTCCTGAATTTAAATGGAAAGCCCTCCCCTAAACAGAATCTTAAATAAAGTCGCATCGTCTCACCATTTAGACAGTTGCTCAGCAGAACAATGATGATGAGGGGAGTCCAAATCTCCTCCTATAGTGGCGGCAACAGCTTCTTCCTGAATTTAAATGTAAAGCCCTCCCCTAAACAGAATCTTAAATAAAGTCGCATCATCTCACCATTTAGACAGTTGTTCAGCAGAACAATGATGATGCGGGGAGTCCAAATCTCCCCCTACAGTGGCGGCAACAGCTTCCCCCAAGGCTTGAACGTGGGAGGCCCTCCCTCGGAACCCCTTGTCGATCCACGTCCGCACGCGGCGCGACTGTGAAGCTTTCACTATCTTTATGTATGTGGACGCTATACTTTCGCAGTACTGTAAGAGGGAAACGTTGGTATTTTCAAAAAGAGATCATTTCACATATTACTTATAAAAATTTTACTAGAAAAAACCAACGTACTTATGACCACACGCCTGAAGTGAAACTTCTTTAGCTCCATCTGTATGTATATACATGTGTGTGTACAATATATACATACAAATTTCATTTACTAGCTATAAGAGAAAGAGAGAAATAAAATGTGCGTGCGCACTGCTTTCTCTTGCTTATATCCCCCACTCGGCTTCCGTTCGCCTCGCCCGAACACACTTTTCGTAACGCGTAACGCATTCGCCAGCTTACCCCCCAAGTCAAGCGTGCGTTAAGAAGTTTCACTTCAGGAGCAGGCAGCTAACGGAATTCGAGACCGAACCCACTGCAATCCAGACGGATGCACTTTTTTTAGAAAATTTTTCTTAAGATCAAACATAGCAGCTATCAGCTAAATACTACAAAAAATATTATTTAAGATTGTGATGGAGATATATATGAATTATTATAAATTTGAAAGTTTGTATGTATGTTCCTCCTTGATAAATTTGGCACGCGTATAGTTTAATCCTTAAACGAAAATTGACTAAGAATAGAATAAATAAAATGACATAGGACCTATAAATTTTACAATAAAATTGAGTTTGACATTCACATGCCCTGTCGTTGGCAAAATGGACGAACTAAATGAAAATCACCACCAAAATGTATCTACTCTGTTTTGTGTGAATAAATATATTTCATTTCATTTCAAGATGCCAAAAACTTACTTCTTTCAATAACTGATAAGGCAACTCGACAGTCTCGTTGTAATCTTTCCCTAGACTGTTGTATGTCACCATCATTCTTTCGTCGACTGTACCTGCGCAGAAACATAAATCGTCAATTCATATATTAAACCTACAGAAGTTATGCGTCGACTGGAAACTTTTATATATTTGATATGAAGATCCCTTCTGTTATGCAAAAAAAAAATCTAGTAAATCTCTACTAATATCATCATCATCACCAGCCTATTAGTGTCTCGACTGCTGGGGCACAGGCCTTCCCTATGGGTGGAATAAGGAGATTGGGTTATGACCCACCGTACGGTCCCAGTGTGTGAATTGGTGGGTGCTAACGATTGCGGATGCAGCCGTGACCAATGGCTTAACGTGCCTTCCGAAGCACGGACGATTTGGTCACCCATCCATTGACTAGCCACCGAGCTTCTAATATAACATCCACAAAAACATCGCAGAACCCCTTCATTATGAATTACAACAAAGCCCTGGGGGCCAATCGTCTAACGGGATTGCTATGGCTATCGCTTACGACTTGATTTTGTTATTTGACCTACGAACGTTTTCAAATGCCTTGCGCTCTTTTTTGTTATTGTACACTGGTAATAACAATATTTAATAAAATAAGCGCGAGGAAAACCTTCGAAGGTCAGAAATAACAAAATGAAATCGTTAGCGATAGCGATAACCATAGAAATCCCGTTAGGCGATTAGCTCCATTATACATAACAATTAAGAGAGATAAGTTGCAACCATAGACAGACATAGATAACGGCAAGGCCGGTTGGAAACATGCGTGGGGAATTTTCTGCTTGTGTATGTATGTCTGTATGTATGAGTGTTTAACATTGACGTATAAAAACTAGTAGACTCAGAATCGCCCTCAAGAAGTGTCAAAGCCCGGCTCCCCTGCTCCTGAGAGGGCTTCAGTTGCTCAATATATTGTTTTAACTTTTCATGGTCACTAACACTATAGTAATATAAGTTACTAGCGGCCCACCCTCGCTTCGCTTCGGTGTAGAGCTGAAGTGTAGACTATAGTTTTTGTTCTCAGGCTTGTATTTTACACAATGACATTCATCTATGATTCTTCTTATATATGCATGCAAAGTCTCAGAACGATCGGTTTAAAATTGACAAAGTTTCATACAAACTTTCATTCCCTATTTTATCCCCTTGGGGGTAGAATTTATCAAAATCCTTTATTTGCGGATGCCTACATCATAACATCTACCTGCATGCCAAATTTCAGCCCGATCCGTCCAGTGGTTTGGGCTGTGCGTTGATAGATCACTATGTCAGTCAGTCACCTTTGAGTTTTATATATATGGGATTGTAATCATGCATCTTGTTTTTAAGCGATTTCCCGATTTTTCTGCACTGTTGCAAGCGTCATGATCAGGGAGTAACTGAAGTAATTGCGGGTAGGCTGTTATTGGTAGACATATCGACCTACCCTCCGACGAAGTCTTTTATTGCGTTCGATAACCGTACCACTGTTCAAATTCTCACTATTCACTCGAAACCGTTCTCGCTAAGAACAAGGTACATGGTAACAAACCCGTAAATAACTTATATTACTATTCAGTTAGTTTCTTAGGTTTTCACGCACATCACCCATTAAATAAAACTAGTTTTAACTGGTTAATGCATGAAATTTAATTATTTATTGACGTTTGCAGCCTTTTCAGATCTGCTTCGTCAGAATACTGATTTTTTTATTTAATTTTATCGAGCTATCTACGAAAGACTTTTATGGAGCGTTCGGTTATTTCATTGAAAATTTTATTGTCTATGTATGAATAATATGAATAGACAATAAAATTTTCAAAGGCTGCGAAACGTCAATAAATAAATAAAATAATAACTTTCGTGCATTAACCCGTTAAAACTAGTTTTATTTACTATTCAGTTGCTCAGTCTCAATACGATACGGGTGTACATCAGAGTGCATCCGTCCTCTAAGCGCACTATGCAGTGATATTTACTAAGGCAGCGCTGCATCATCCCTTTCTCAGGGGTTGATCGCATCAGACAAAGCCTGTAAGGCCCTTATTGCCGTAAGCATCATCCCACGAGTGTGTTTAGTTAGTAAGAGTCTGACATAACCCTACAGCCAGCTGTAGGGTATCCATGAGGATTTAAATATCTAGCAGTTAAATGCTTAAAAATATAACTGTACATAAGGTTTTCACATCCTGCCTAGGAGGAAACAAAAAAAAGTGTCGGAAGCAAAATTACGCACACGCGTTTATTGTGCGTAATTTTCAAATAGTCGTGTTTCTACCGCGTTTCGATTACAACGCAACGCAATGACATAGTGTTCAGATAAAAACTGTGCAAATGACACCAGATCCACCACTTAAAACACTAGTGTCGTATTTCTGGTAAGTGTCCCTTTATATTAACAAAATCATCCAATATCTTGGCGTTTTCTATCGTATTGTTAATTAATATCATTCGTTTGCGTCACGTCATCGTGTATATCTCTCTCATGTAATCAAACTATCTCTTTCTCTCGTGTATGCGTTTGATAATGAACCTTACTGCAACGCCACAACATGTTCATTTGAACAAATGTGTTTGATGTCTATGTACCTATAACACAGCCGTTTTTAGATACATTTTTGTAAGGCGATTTGGAGTCTACTTGTTTTTCTACGTCAATGGTGTTTAACCTTAAAAACAACATACCTCTTACATTATAGACGTAAAGCTCCGCAAATCTGTTGAAGTCCACTGACGGCGACTTCTGATGGCCCGAGCCGAACAAGAAGTTGGATAGGTACTGCGCCAGCCGAGGGTCGATCTGGGGGCCCCAGAATTTCTGAGAACAATATTTATAAACTGCAATCTTTTAGCTAGTATTTCAGGAAAGGTGGGACGTAGGGGAAATCAGCAGAACAATGAGGGGGGGATCCAAATCTCCCTTGGACTGCCTCCCTCAAGGCTTGAACTTGGTAAGCTCAATTAAGCCGCGATATGGCATCATTAAGCGCATTCTACCGACTATACCACGGCGAGTGTTCTGAGGAGTTATTCTCCCTTATCCTCCATCACCTTTTCTTCAGAAGGACCACGCGCGCTGGCCTACGTTGCCACCGACTTACTGTGGCCACTATTTCTACACGAACAAAGAAATTTAGTGACTCATTTCTTTGTCGTACGTCTTAAAATCTGGGGTCCTTTAAGAGAGGCGTGAAGAAGCATTTTTGCAGGTCAGTAAGGATGGTTGGTGTGGCAGTTTATAACTGCTGTACCAGCTATCTTCGCGTTTGGACTTTATCACCACTTAACATCAGGTGGGGTAGAGTTATTTGCCTACCTGGCTATATATTCAAAAAAGCCCTTATCTTGAATCCCTTGTCTTTCCATAACCATAGTCTATAAGTGACATTTCACGATTTAGACAGTTTTTCAGCAAAACAATGATGATGTGGGGGGTCCAAATCTCCCCCCACAGTGGCAGCAATAGCATCTTCCTCAATGAAAGTGGAAGGCCCTCTCCCTAAACAGAATATTATATATAGAAGCATCGTCTCACCATTTAGACAGTTGTTCTACCCATGTTGTGATGATACTACCCATGATATACAATATATTTTTAAGTGGTGATAAAGTCCACACGCGAAGATAGCTGGTACAGTAGTTATAAACTGCTACACCAACTATCCTCACCTTGCCGGCTTGCAAAAATGCTTCTTCACGCCTCTCCAAGGACCCCAGATTGTAGGCCAGACGTGCGCGGGCAAATATATCCACTTACGAATATATATTTTTCTCACATTCAGTTCATGTTACATTTCATGTAATATTAGCCAATTTGTTTCCTGACCCACTATAAGCTTATATTCTTACAAACATTGCAAAATAATAAGGTAGAATTTCGCTTAAATGTGCGTTTCCATGGAAACAAACATATTATTTACTGAACAATAATTAATAATATTTGTCGTGACAGAAGTTATTGTTTATGTTATATTATTTGGAGTTTTGATTAAAGACTAAAGATATCCTTATTATTTTACAAAAGTTTTACTTAATGACAAATAATCGACAGATCTTGGTTGAATTTATGATTTTCAAAATTCCAATATTATCTATTAAATTATATACCTATTTCAAAATAAAGGGTAAATTGTAAATAAATTTGAGCCACTTTAACACATTTTCCTTGATATTACAATAACGTAACGAAATTACGCAATCTTTAAAGCACAACACGTCTATTTTGATATTTTTAAGCGAATCATCAGGTAAGTAGGTCGGCTATCAATTTGTTCCACAGTACTCTTCCTACTACAAAGAAGTCTGTACTGAAATAAAGTTATGTTCACGAAGCAATTTTTTTCTTCTATTCACAACGTCGTCGCAAAGCTTTTCAGTTTCATTCGTCAATAACCAACAACAGAGCCAACGGGTTGTCATTAACGAATCCGAGTTTTAATGGCTAGTGCAACAAACATGTTAATACGTTAATATTCCCGAGGAGTAAACATAGGCTAAAATTGTTTGATGTAAAGGCAACTAACATTAGCTTGATAAACGTACCCGAGTTTTAAAAATGTATGAATTTTAAAAACAGATTATATCAAAGTTCGTACGGTTTTCACGTTAGAAGAAGGTATGTTTATTTCTCTATAGAATCTGTCGACGAAAATTCGTAGAACGTTCTATCGGGTCGGGCCACGAATCATGCGAGTTAAAGTCAGTAGTTTGTTACGGCCTCGAATGAATTTTCTGTAGTGACTACTTATTGCAGTAATAACAGGGAGAAAAAAAACAGCCTTTGCTGAGTTTCTTGCCGGTTCTTCTCAGTACAAGGTCTCCCGCCGTAGATTTACGAACCGATGGCGTAGCTTCTAAACTTAACTTGACTACATGCTTATAATAGCCTAAACTGAATAAATGATTTTGATTATGATTATAATAAATAATCCCACCAAAAAACATGTTCATGTAAAGTGTTGCCGAGACGAGCCTTTGACTCGCACAGTCAAAATTATCAGATCTCATGTAAAGCCAAGCTTTTAACTCTACACTCCCTAACTCTACAAGGCCTAACTTCACAAGTTCTACACTTTAATAAAGAAAAATTTGTGTGCACGGACCACACATCTGAAGTGAAACTTCTTTTCTCAAATAACCTAACATTAGGCGGTGCATAAGGCATAAGGGAATGGAGCAGCGCACGCATCACTTATACATATGTATATGTTACAGTTAAACTGTAACATATATATATATATATATTACACCCCGTCCGAAAAGAAGTTTCACTTCAAAAATGTGGCTTGGCCATTTCGCTACATACACATGAGCATAAGGTGAAAAATTTACCCACTGTTAATTGTTTTTTGTATTACAATAGCCAAGCTTGTAGCCAATAAGCAAGCCAAATTTTGACTTCGGCGTAGAGTTTGTGATTTGGGAAGTTGGCGGCGGGTGAGGCGTGTGGGCTCGCTTATTTCGTGGCCCGCCTTGTAAAACAACAACGCCTATTATTATGAAGTAACATTGATGTGAAGCATACTCCCGTAAATGTTATAGATCTATAGAGATAACACGCTCGTCTAAAAAGCCGGGACACGAGAAACTAACTGCGTCGCGTCAGACTGGCTTAAACGCCATGATTTGTAGTGGAATAACGACATTTTCACTGTAGGCGTCGCGGAATGGGCGTGGACCCTTCTAACGTGAAAAATCTCAAAAATGCCAAATAATAAAAGGAAATTTCTGCCTACCCACTAACAGCGATAAATTTATAGTTTGTTGACATCTAGTGGTGTTTTTATGAACTACGTACGATGGCCAAAATAACTTGGAAATGACATCTAGTACTAGTTTAAAAACAAGGAACCGAACTACGTAGTTTTGGTAATCCTAGCAAAATCGATATGCGTCGTTATGATAAAGATTGTATAACAATATTTTATAAGTAATGTTTATAATAAAATTGTGTCTTGTGTAATAATGTTTATTTTATTCCAGGTACCTATTGTTTATAAGTGTAGTGACTGACAACCTCCAAAAGTTGCTACCGCGCCTGATCTATATTTAATATTAAAACATAGACATAATAAAAACATGGGAACTTATTACAAGGTGCGTGCCGTGTTGGGCCAATAGGACGCTGACTCAGCTATGCTCTGTGGTAAACGCTTTTCCATACCACAGCAGCGCTGATTTTCAGCCAGCACCTTATGGCAAAGGTGATTGCGAATGCCGGAATAAAGTGAAACAAAAAAAAACAAAGAACATAGGTTGGTAATCTATATATATATAAAACTCAAAGGTGACTGACTGACATGTGATCTATCAACGCACAGCCCAAACCACTGGACGGATCGGGCTGAAATTTGGCATGCAGGTAGATGTAGGCATGCGCTAAGAAAGGATTTTGATCAATTCTACCCCCAAGGGGATAAAGTAGGGAATGAAAGTTTGTATGAAACTTTGTCAATTTTAAACCGATCGGGCTGAAACTTTGCATGCAGGTATAAGAAGAATCATAGATGAATGTCATTGTGTATAATACAAGCCTGAGAACAAAAACTGTAGTCTACACTTCAGCTCTACACCGAAGCGAAGCGAGGCCTGGCCACTAGTTATCCATATATGGGTATTCATTTCTAATCAGTGACTCTAATACACTTAACTATAATGCCGCTATATATTAAGATGTAGGTGTGCGCTAAGAAAGGATTTTCGAAAACTCAAAATAGAGCACGTGAGGGGGGGGGGGGGGGGAGTAAGAGATTTGCTTACTTTTGCTGACAATGGGGAGGAGGGGATAAATAATTGTAATAAATCTGCTTACGTAATACTTGAACGGCCCCTAGGCCTCCTGGGTGTATTCTATAATTCGTAAGGTAAACCAATAACACAAATATAGTGAATTCCTCAACTTTATCTTGAGGGTCTAATAGAAGAAAACGACTTCATATGCTGGGGCCAAAACGGCCTAACGTGCTTTCCTAAGCACAGAGAATAACTAAAGCTGTGACCTGTTGAGCTCGAGATTTTAAGTTATTGGTCATCCATCCAATAACCGACCATTGCGAAAGTTGCTTAACTTAAACGATCGCAGGCCGAACGTGCTAACCATCTGCGCAATCGAGCTCTTGTTACTATTATAACCAATAAAAAAAAGTCATTAAACGTAGCGGGCGTACAGAGCACGAGGTCAGTATCAAAGTATTTTTTACTGACACCATTTCTATTTGAAAATTGTTATTTTGACACCCAAAACTTTTGTTATGATTCTTGTGAAATGTTTCACAATATTATAATCGTGTTTCAAAGTCGATGCAGCAATTGAAACGTCTCTACTGAGGCATTTAAACCTAGCTTAATTAATTTTATACATATAGTATAGTAAAACTTCATAGTCCAGTCAAATTGAAAGTACGGGGTAGTTTACGTCAAATACGGTAGTTCTGATTTTTGAAGTGATAACTTCTTATGGGAGGGTAAACCGCTTCGTTACGTAACGCGTTACGGCGCCAGTCTGAAATCCGGAAATCCGAGATTGTCCCGGAATTTTGCGGCTTATCCCTTGTCCAGTAATTAGACCTTTTTGTCCTGGATTCCGATAATGTGCTAGTTTCGTAACAAAATAAACTAATAACGAATGACACCGCATCACCCCCCAGATTTAATTCTGGGGGGTAAAGCGGGACTTGATGTTTTATTTTTCGAAATTAAAATGATGTTTGCGAAACGGAGAAGCCGTTAAACAGTCCGCGCGGCTTACGAGCGCTTACGGCATACTATCCGCTGAAAAACCCCGCCAATACCCTCTACGCTGTTAAGTGCGAACTTTAC